TGGATTGCAAACCACCGAGTAGGCAGTTTGAGCCCACCAGCCTCTCCATGGGAGAAAGACAAAGTCTTCTGCTCTGGCAAAGATTTACAGCTTTGGAAACCCAATACAGGGTTGCTGTAAGTCAGAACCGATTCAATGGCACTTAACAACAACAACAACCTTGGAGATATTGTAGGCTCTGATTCAAGTCACCACAATAAAGCGAATATCACTATAAAGCAAGTCACTTGAATGATTTTGGTTTCCCAGTGAGGATAACAGTTATGTTTACATTTTTCCATAGTCTATTAAGTACATTTTATTAGTGCTTTATTGGCTATGCAAAGACATTTGACTGTGTGGATCATAACAAACTGTGGATAACAATGCAAAGAATGGGTATTCCAGAACACTTAATTATACTCAAGAGGAACCTGTACATAAATCAAGAGACAGCTGTTTGAATAGAACAAGGAGACACTGAGCGCTTTAAAATCAGGGAAGGTGTGCATCAAAGTGGTATCCTTTCCCCATGTTTATTCAATCTGTATGCTGAACAAATAATCCGAGAAGCTGGATTCTACGAAGAAGTTGACATCAGGATTGGAGGAAGCCTCATTAACAACCTGCAGTATGCAGATAACATGCAGATGAAACAGTTAGAGGACTTAAAATACTTCCTGAGAAAGACTACAATCTTTGGTAATGTAAATAAGTGTAAACACAACTGGAACAATAAATAACAGGATAAATGGAGTAAAGATTGAAGTTGTCAAAGACTTCATTTTGCTTGGATCCACAATCAACACTCAGGGAAGCAGCAGTCAAGAACTCAAACGAAGTATCGCATTAGGCAAATCTGCTGCACAAGACCTCTTTGAAGTATGAAAGAGCAAAAGTTGTCGTTTTTGAGGACTAAGGTGTGTCTGACCCAAGCCATAGTATTTTCACTTGCCTCAACGCATGTGAAAGCTGGACAATGAAGAAGGAAGATCTTAAAAGAATCAATGCATTAGAGTTATGGTGTTGGAGAAGAATATTGAAAGTGCCATGACCTTCCAGAAGAACAAACAAATCTGTCTTGGAAGAAATACAGTCAGGATGGAAGACTTTGTCTCTCACATTAGGACATGTTACAGGAGGGACCGGTCCCTGGAGAAGGACAGTATGCTTGGTAAAGTGGAGGGTCCGCCAAAAAAAGGAAGACCCCGAACAAAACGGAGTGGCACAGTGGCAGCAGCAATGGGCTCAAATGTAACAACAATTGTGAGAATGGTGTAGGCGGTTGTGAGTCAGAACCGACTTGACACCTAACAAGAACCACAATTAAGTACACAACTGCATTATGAAAAAGTTTCAAGTATTGTGAGAGATACCAAAATGTGACACGGAGACTAAATGGCACACGTTGTTGGAATAAAAGGTGTTGACAGACTTGCTGAACTCAAGGCTACCACAAACCTTCAATTTGCACAAAACAAACCAACCTGCGAAGCGCATTAAAGCCAAGGGCAATAACAGGAGGCGTGTATGCCTGTACGTATACGTATGCGCATATAATCTTACATATACCATATCGTCTATTTCTATAGCGAGACTCTTATCTGCTCTAAAGAGCGAGTGCACCTATTTCTGCCATTCATGGAACTTGTACATAGTCTAATAATGTTACTATAGTGACACTCTTGGTCACACTACAGAGACTACAGGGAAAGTTGGGAAACTTTTAGGCAACTTGGCAGGGAAATTTTATTGTTGTTGTAAATTATTTAAAAATTGAGGCTTGTGGAGAAGAAAAAAATCACTGAATACTAAAAACTGCTGCAAACTTCTTGTTGTTGTTTTAACGTACACTTGAGAATGTTTCTGTAAGATAGATCCCTAGAAGTGGGATTGTGGGGCTAGTGGACATGCATCTTTAAGTGTTATGGTCACATGGCCGTATTTCTGAAAGGGCTGTTCCACTTATATCTCACACCAAGGGTGCATCAGGAATCCCTGGGTGGCTCAAAGGGTTAACACATTCAATTGGTAACCAAAAGGTTGGAGGTTTGAATCCACACAGAGGCACGTCAAGGAGTTCTGGTGGCAGAGTGGTTAAAGTCCTTGCTGCTAACAGAAAGGTCCTGGTTCCAACCCACGGGCAGCTGTGAGGGAGAAAGATGTGTGGTCTGTTTCTGTGCAGATTCCCAATCTGTTCTGTACGAAGTGCAGCCAGTACACTCATTAGAAGCCTCAATGACCCTATGGGCAGTTCTACTCTCTCCTAAGGGGCACTACGAGTTAGTATCAACTCAATGGCAACAGGTTTAGTTTGGTCTAGAGGCACCTTGATAGAAAGCCCTGGGGATCTGCTTCAAAACAATCACTCACTGAAAACGCTGGGAAGCCCAGTCCTACTCTGACACACATGGCGTCGCCCTGAACTGCAATCAACTTGACAGCCACTGGTTCAAGTGTATCAGAGCAACCGTCTGCCCACACCTTTGGCCATACCAAAGCTTTGAAATCTTCCAATTTCATAGGATAAAACTGATATTTTGTCTTCTGTGAATGATTTAACATTTGCCAATTTTTCTATCAGATTATTTATTTATTTATTTTGTATATGTTGTTGTTAAGTGCTGTTGAGTTGGTTCCGACTCATAGCAACTCTGTATAGGGTTTCCAAGGAGTGGTTGGTGGATTTGAACTGTCCACCTTGTGGTTAGCTTATCCAGCAACACTTGGTTGTTGTCATGAGGTGCCATCATAGTGACCCTATGCATAATAGAACGAAACACGTCCCGGTCCTACACCATCCTCCCAATTCTTACGTTTATGATGTCCTTCTTCAGGATTGGTCCCTTTTGACAATATATGACGGGGTTCCAAATGTTCATGAAAAAACTCCTTTATATTTTAATTCCATTTTTCCATCAACTTTTTGAGGAGCCACTGTATACGTATTTTTAAATTTTTATCTGATTGTGATTTGTGTCAAAGTCTACAGAGCAAATGAGTTTTCCATTCTAACAATTCATACACATTTATTGGGTTCTTTTTCCTACTGAGTTTTCTAGAAGTCTAGATATATTCTGGATATGAATACTTTTATCTGTTATATATTGCAAATATTGTTCTCAAGTATGTGGCTTACTTTTCATTTTGTTTAAGCTGTCACATTGTGGTACGTGTTACATTTTTAGAAAAGTATTCAACTCTATTATTTTGTCTTTTGGAGTCTTGTCTGGCTTGCAGGAGAAAGACAAGGCTGTCTGCTCCTGTAAAGATTTATAGCCTCAGAAATCCTAGGGAAGCAGCTTGACTATGTCCTGTAGGGGTCGCAATGAGTCTAAATTGATTCCATGGTAGTGCGTTTGGTTTGCGTTTCCCAAATGTGTGCTTTTTAAACATGTTCTTCATGTTCCTCTAGTACACACACAGGTTTTGTGTTTGTGTGTGTGTGGTGGTTGCAAGGCACTGACTGTTGACCTTTGCAAACCATAAAGTGGAGTATGGCAGGGTGCTAGCCCTGTGCCTGAGCCCCAGTGAGAAGCAGCCCCGTGTTTTGGGGACCTGCAGACCTGCTGCGGATGGAGCAGAGCTCATGTGTCTGGAGGCAGAGGGGAATCTGAGGCCTTCTCTTTCAGAAGGAGAGGCAAGATGCACCTGAGAATCTTTCTGGCTTTGTTAGGACTGTTGTGGGCATTTGCAAAGTTGGAGAACAGAACTCACAACTTTTCCAAGCATGTCACAAACTGTCTTTAACCCAACCAGCAGTTTACCAGCATGCTCACATCCAGTTTCTCAAGTGCTGCCGACATTGTAGAAGTAGCGAGAAGGATTTATAATCCCCTCTTTACAATTACAGGAATAATCAGGTACAGAGAGGTGAGGGGACATGCCCAAGGCCACACAGACAGCGAAAGTCAGAGTCCATTAGAATCCTCACCAAGTCCACTACTCCTCAGACCTCAGTCCTAGTGTCCACAGCCTTAGTCTTAGTTTGTCCTGCCTCTGTCCCTTTTGGTGGAAGGGAGCATCTGGCTAGCTAAATCTCTGCTTCCCCCTCTTCCCGTGTAGGTAGGAGAGTCTGGAAAAATCCACCCTCCACTACCAGTTGAGGGCGAATTTTGAGCACGGAGACTTCCTCCTCCCCCTGCGAGTTTGACAGACGGTGGGCGTGGGGATGAGTCAGGTCTGGAAAGGAGAACTCAGCCATGATCAAGTGGGACCGATGGAAACACTTACCCGGAGGCGCGTGGGACCCTGCCTGAAGAGCTACAGCTTAAAGCTTCATGATCTAGGCTCTGCAGATTTAATTTGCTATATTTACATAAGCAGCCACAGAAGGAGAAAATGGATGAGAGAAGGTAAATTATTTCCAGTCTCTTGGTGGAGAGCTCCCAATGTTTATTTAATGGGCGTGGCATTTTTGCAGATGCCCAGCATGCTCTTAGGAGACCCTGGGAGGCACAGATGGTTAAGTTTTGGGCTCTTAATCAAAAGGCTGGTTGTTTAAACCAGCCCAGGGAAAACAAGCCTGGTGATCTGCTTTTTAAAAGTCATGAAAATCCCGTATCTGCATACATAGGGTTGCCATCAACTTCCAGGTTAGCTTCCTTTCTTTCTTCTTATTTATTTTCCATATACCCACGACTAGGTATTTATCCCTTCCAGCGCCAACCCCAAAGAACAGCTGTAACACAAAATTGTAGAGTTGGACCTGGTCTTGGAGGTCAACATTTTCCAGTTCCTCAGATTGATGGGAACCTGAGTAATGCATGCCAAGAAGTAACCTGTCCAAGTGCACACTTGGGAGTAAAGTATGGGACCGATCTTGGGTCTCCTGGATCCCAGGTCTGCACTTGTCCTGAGGAATCTCAGGGTAACCCGAGGTCAAACAGTCACTGAACACACGGTGGGCAGCGAAGGGAACACCAGAGAGAATCAGGGTAAACGTCCTGCCGCATGTGGCTTGGTGCTGCAGATGGGGCTGGACTTCTCCGAGCCACCTGGGGAGGTGTGAGGCTACCTACCTGTTCCAGAGGGATGACGAGGAAGGAGCCACCACCCGAGCTTTCGGTGACAATGGCCAGAAAGCGAGCGTTGACCGCGCAGAAGTGGTTATCATGCACATTCTTGGTGATGGGGATCCCGTCGAAGCAGTGCTCCCGGTTGGCCACCTTCCCATAGACGTTCCGGAACTTGGAGCTGCGGTATTGCGGACGCCAGGACATCTGTGGGGAGCAAGAGAGACACAGGTCAGACTGGCTACTGCTTCAGGCCAGGTAGGACATTGGGGGTGGGGGCAGAAGGGGAGCTACTCCTTAGGGTACAGGAGATGAGGAGCCCTGGTGCTTGTCCTCAGGATTCGGGGCCCACTATGGACCCAGGCCTGGGTAAGATGACTTACTCTTTTTAAAAAGTACTACAAGAGCAAGGAGTCCTGGAATGGCACTCTAGGATAAACACTGAACTGCTAATTGCATGGTTGGTAGTTCAAACCCACCAGCCGCTTCTTGGAAACCCTATATGGAGTTGCTATGAGTCAGAACCGACTTGATGACACTTATAACAGTAAGAGCAGAGGCTGACATAAGGACATTCACACTTTTTCTGCTTTGGATACACATGCCCATTCCATCTTCCATAAAGGCTACAGGGCCCTTTCAGTGCCATGTAATAGACAAAACATCCACCCAACATTATATAATACGTCAGCACAGTCTCCTGAGGGTCAGACACTGCACTCGATTCAGTGTGGGTGGTGCACATGGAGCAGACGGAATGTTCACAATGGGCCGAGGCCGATGCGACTGGGGTAGTCTGGTTGGGGTTGTCCCCTATGTGCAAGGAGGCAACACCACATAGATATCACCAGCCCCTCCTCTGACTCTCACCATGACTTCCAGTCCACAAGTGTGCCCTCAAAGACTCCGTACTCCTACATTATGGGTTGAATTGAGTTCACCAAAATATGTGTTGTAGCTTGTAATCCCTGTGTTTTAGGATGTAATACCATTGGGAATAAGGTTTTTTTATATTGTTATTGAGGTTGGATCAACATAGAGTGTGTCATGAGCCAATCACTTCAGATATAAACTGAGCTGATTAAGTACAGGGTAGGAAACAGAGATGGGAGAAGACAGAAACCAGGCCACATGAAGACGGCCAAGGAACCCAGGAATAGAGACATGGACCTACTGCAGAGCTGACCCAGAGAAAACCCTTCCCTATAGCTGGAAGCTTGAATTTGGATTCCTAGCTTCGTAAACTTTGAGAAAATAAATTCATGTTTATGAAAGCCACTCATTTGGAGTGTTTCTGTTGCAGCTACCCTGGGTGACGAAGGCAGTTCTATGCAGCATGAGGATGACAGTGACCATCATTATCTTCCTCCTCCTCCTCTGTTTCAGGCACAGAGAGATCAAGTGAGTTGCCCAAGGGCTTTGACATGTGTGTCCCGACTGTCCATCTGAGACTTCCGTGCACCAGATAACCCTTTGGAGCAAAGAATCTCAATACATGGTCCGTAGATTGCTGTTGTTGTTAAGTGCTCTTGAGTCAATCCCGACCTATAGCGACCCTGGATAGGGTTTCTGAGGAGCAGCTGGTGAGCTTGAACTGCCAATCTTGCAGTTCAAATGGCTTTGCAGTCTGGTACATTAACCCACAGCGCCACGCCAGGACTCCGCAGATTACCTGTACCAAAATCATCGGGAGTTTGTGGGAGGTTTGTTAGAAATCCTGATTTGTGGGTTCTAGTCTAGACCTACTGAGTCCAATATTTTGGGAGCGGAGCCCAAAATTTAAGCCAGTTTACCCCCGCTGCTTCACCACATACTAGCACATCTTAAGAGAATAGAGTAGGGCCCCTCCCAGTCCACCATCTCTGACACCGTCTCTACTAACCAACTAAACAGATAATAGGCACAGCCTGTTCAAGTCCTGTGCCTAGTTTTAATTGGATTATTTGTCTTCTTCTTGTCGAGGTGTTAAACTGTTCCATAAATTTTAGAGAATAGTCGCTTGTCTGATGTCATTGCCAAAAAATGTTTCCCAGTCTGTGGGTTCTCTTCAGACACCACCTTATTCAGTCCCCAATCGGCAGAACTAAGCAGAAACTACAATTTATTTAGAATGCATTTTATATAAATGACTAAGAGTTCCTGGGTGGTGCAAATGGTTAAGCGCTTGGTTACTAACCTAAAGGTTAGTAGTTCGAACCCATTCAGAGATGCCTGAGGTGAATGGTCTGATGCTCTGCTTCCAAAAGGTCACAGTGAAAACCGTGTGGAGCACGTCTCTCCTACACACATGGGGTGGTCAGGAGTTGAAATCAACTTGATGGCAACTGTTGTGTTTTTATGTGACTAATTTGAGACCCAGTAGGATTAAGATTTTGGAGTTCTGGTGTGGTGTTGTAAGATAAACACTGGACAGCTAATTACAAGGTCAGTGATTCAACCACCAGCCACTCCTTGGAAACCCTATACAGGGTCGCTATTAATTGGGACAGACTCCACAGCATGTAAGGAGCTCTGGCAGCGTAGTGGTCACGAATCGGGTTGCTAACCGCAAGGACAACAGTTCGAAACTACCAGCTGTTCCGCAGGAGAAAGATGAGGCTTTCTGCTCCCGTAAAGATTCACAGCCTCAGAAACCCTGTACAGGGTCGTTATGAGTCGGAACCTACTCCACGGCACTTAACCAACCAACCAACCACAGCATGTAACAACAACAACAACAACAACAACCGGGTTAAGATTAAGAGGCTTGCTCAGAGTCACAAATGATAAAATGAGCAGAGCCAAGAGTTCATCTTAGATTGTTAGCCTATTATTTTTCCTAATTAATACATATTCTCTCACTCTGTCATCTTCTTACCTTTCCCCACTTGCTGCATGCAATACAGAGCACTATACAAAGGCATAAAGAAACTGTATGCTAGGCAGGGTTTGAAGAATCAGAAAGAAACCCAGGTTTATTTATACCTTGGCTCTGCCACTTGTTATCTGTGTGATTTTAGACTAGTTACTCAACCTCTCTCAGCATCACCTGTTTTAAAAACAAGAGTAGTATCTCCCAGCTCCCTGGATACAATGAAGTGACCAAAAGCAAGGTGACTGGGAAAGGGTGGGTGCTTGGCAAACACTAGCCTGTCTTCTCCTCTTCTCCTGTATGGAAGGGTCCCTGACATCCAAGAATTAATTGTTTACTGGGAAAGGCCGGGAGGAGAGGGGGCTGGGCTGAACTGAGCCCAAGATCAAGAGGAGGGAGGGAGAGGCTCTGGCTTCCAGATGTGCACAGCTGCTGGGCTGCTCCCTGGCGGCCTCTCCCTGGGCCCACAGCCATCATCTCCCTCAGAGAGGGGGAGGAGCCGGAAGGAAAAACTATTCATTTCCCTGCCCAATGGGCCTTGTAGCCTCTCAAGAGCAGCTTTTCCCCTTCCGAGATAAACACGTACACTTCCCGTGGAAGCAAATTGCATCCTGTTCTTGGATTCTCAAAATGATTGATTGTGGCCAGTGGGGGCACTTTCCGAAGATCATGCAGTTCTCTAACTGGTGTTGTTGCTGTTACCTGCTGTCAAGTCGGTACCGACTCATAGAGACCTTATAGTCAACAGAATGATACGTGGCCAGGTCCTGCGCCAGCCTCACAATCATTGCTATGCTTGAGCCCACCGCTGCTGCCACGGTGCGGGTGCCAATCCATCTTGTTGGGAGGGGGCTTCCTCTTTCTTGCTGACCTTCCACTTTACCAAACATGATTTCCTTCTCCAGGGACTGGTCCCTCCAGATAATATGTCTGAAATTTAGAGAGATGAAGTCTGGCCACCCTGGCTTTTAAGGAGCATTCTGGCTATACTTCTTCCAACATTATTTGTTTGTTCTTTTGGTGGTTCATGGTACTTTTAATATTCTCCTCCAACACCAAACTCAAATGCATCAATTCTTCTGTAATCTTTATTTATTGTCTAACTTTCACATGCATATGAGGTTATTGAAAATATCATGGTTTGGATGAGGCAGACCTTAGCCCTCAAACTGACATCTTTGCTCTTCTACACTTTCAAGAAGTCTTGTGCAGCAGATGTGCCTAATGCAATACATCATTTGATTTCTTGACAGCTGCTTCCATGAGTATAATTGTTGATCTGAGCAAACTGAAGTGTTTGACAACTTCAATCTTTTCTCCATTTATTGTGATGTTATTTATTGGTGCAGTGGTGAGGATTTTTGTTTTCTTTTCATTGAGGCTTTCATATCAAAGGGCATGGTTTTTGGTATGAAAAGTATTTTAAGTCCTCTTCGCTTTCAGCAAACAAGTCATATCGCTGACTGTTAATGAGTCTTCCTCTAATCCTGATACCATGTTTTTCTTCATATAATCCAGGCTTCTCTAATTATTTGCTCAGCATACAGATTGGAAAAAGTATGGTGAAAGAATACAACCCTGGTGCACTCTTTTCCTAATTTTAAACCATTCAGTGTTCCCTTGTTTTGTTAGAACAACTGCCTCTTGGTCTATATACAGGTTCCTCATGAGCACAACTAAGTGTTCTGGAATACTCACCCTCCACAATGTTGCCCCTAGTTTGTCATGATCCACACAATCAAAAGGCTGTGCATGGTCAATAAAACACAAGTAAACATCTTTCTGTTATTCTCGGCTGCCAGCCAAGATTCATCTGACGTAAGCAATTATATCCCTCATTCCATTTTCTCATGTGAATTCTGCTTGAATCCCTGGCAGTTCCCCGTCAATGTACCTTTGCAGTTGTTTTTGAATGATCTTTAACAAAACTTTACTTGCATGTGATATTAGTGATATTGTCTGATGATTTCCTCATTCCTTTGGTTCACCTCTCTTTGGAATGGGCACAAATAAGGATCTATTCCAGTCAGTTGGCCAGGTAGTTGTCTTCCAAATTTCTTGGCATAGATGAGTGAGTGCCTCCAATGCTGCATCAGTTTGTCGAAAGATTTCAATTTGGATTCCATCAATTCCAAATTGTTCTTTATCAATGCCTTCAGTGCACCTTAGACTTCTGCCTTCAATATCGTTGGCTCTAGATCATATGCTACCTCTTGAAATTGTTGAACATAGACCATTTCTTTTTGATACACTGATTCAGTGTATTCCTTCCATCTTCTTTTGAAGCTTTCTGCATCATTCAATATTTTGCCCACAGAATCCTTCAATATTGCAAGTCGAGTCTTGAATTTTTCTT